GATTTCACCCTTTAAAACATTGTTTGGGCATGTTGGATTTTATTGTACTTTTTCTGCCCCTTTAAATTGTGTTGGAGCAAGTTTAAAACTTTAAATTGGCACTTTGGATACAGCCAAAGTGCCGAAGTAGTTGAAGTGGCCGCCATTCGACAAACGAACAAATAATGGCGGCAGTCATTTTAATTCAGCTGAAGTTTTACCTTCTCCAGACTTCAACTCATTCGACAATTTGAACGCTGTTCGACAATTTGAACGCCGTTCAAGTTTGTTCGACAATTCGAACGTTTGCCATTCGCCTATTTGAACTATAGTTAACAGGGGAAATAAACCGGCCGCACAGCCTGATTCTCTGGAACTGTTTTGGGCATGAAAATGTGCGTGCAGTCGGTCAAAATATGACTTCCAGCTATCTCCCGAACCACTGGACCAATTCTCACAAATTTGGGATATGTTGTTCCCATAGTTATGCTGGTTATAAAAATGTAAGTTTCACAGGCAAAGGGGAGGATTTTTGCTGGAATGAATGGGAGTGTTTTACTGTGTGTTGGTTTATGATTGGTTGTTCCACAAGGCCCACGTGGGTGGTAACCTTGTGGAGAAATGTGCATATAAGAGCAATACAGCCTCAGTGCATTCTGTTCCTGTTTGACCCTCAATACGTAGCTTTGTCTCGTTATTGGAGGGAACTGCTATAATCACACTGGGGATTTATATGCTCTGCATACTCCCTTGAGCTTTAATCACTTAGCTCTTCTTATAGCTGTTCCTGATATGCTCTCCTGGAGGAGAGGTCTTCCCCACAGGGTCCTGGATGTCGGAGGTTCATACAGGATGGAAGGAAGAGGTCTTTCCCACACGGTCCTGGAAGACAGAAGCTGATCCAGGGTGGAAGGAAGACGGCGAGACTACAAATTAAGCTACGGCGGTTGTGTAGTCTGCGGTGGTTGTGGTGTGCGGTGCTTGTGGTCCTCGGCGCAAGCTAGGAAGCATGCATCAACGGAAGGTACTCGGTCGGAGTACGGGTGAGTCCGTTACATGGGGCATCTCTTTCTCTAGTGTCCTTCTTAGGATAACTGTGTGCTGCAAGACTTTTTAAATTCTGAGCCTTTCTATATATAATAGGAGGACGATTGGGTATGACATTACCTATAACGGGATCCTGTAGCAATATCGGCCAAAATTTGTTTGGACATTTTTTTTAATTTTCCATTGGTCTGTATTATACCTTGTGAATAATGGATGTTTTCACTCCTCACGGTGGGACTCTTGTGGTCGATCAATTAATAGATCATTTCTGTCCTTCTGTGACATAACCCTAATTTCTCTCTCATTTGTATTTTTATCATATCCTTTTTTTATCAATTTTTTTACCTATATGTCCTGCTTGTGTTTTAAAATCCTGTACATTGAAGCAATTACGTCTCACTCTGGTGAGTTGGCACCTTGCAATACCTTTCAAGCATGGTTTATGATGGCAACTTCTTTTGTGTACATAGCTGTTTCCATCAGTTTAAAAAAAAAAATAGATTTAACTTTGTCACCCTCATGAAACAGGAGAAGGTCCAAAAAGTTAATTGTATGTTTATTCCACTCAGGCGTGAATTTAAGATTGAACATGTTTTTGTTAAGATATCTCAAAAAGGTATTGAAGAACTCCTGGGATCCCTTCCAGATGATGATTACATCATTGATATATCTCCGCCATAGGACCAGTCATGCCCGCACCACACGAAAAGGTCTTCCCACCTTCTCATGTATATGTTGGCATAACTGGGGGTGAACCTGGTTCCATGGCAGTACCCATTACTTGAAGGTAAAATTTCCCCTCGTAGAAAAAATAATTGTGTTCAAAAAAAAATTTAATGGCAGGTAAAATAAAATTCTTAAGTGATGGATGAACTTCTAAATCCTGACTGATAAAGAACTCCACTGCCTTGATACCCAAATGATGATGAATCACCGTATATAAAGATGTAACATCTAAGGTGGCCCAACTAAAATCATTTCTCCATTCAATACTGTCTAATTCCTGCAGCATGGCCTTGGTATCCTTGACGTAACAAGGGGCATTTTGGGCATATTTTTGCAGGTTGAAGTCTATGAATGCTGATGAATTAGCTGTTGTAGAATCAATGCCGTTAATTATGGGATGTCCTGGTGGAAAAAATAGGTTTTTATGAAGTTTTGGCAAAAAACCCACCTCTCTATCAACCAATGAAATCTCTTGGGAACTTAGACCACACCTTGATTGCTTCTCAAACAAGATCACCTGATAACTGTATTTAAAGGGTTTGTGGGGGGTGGGATTATGCATGCACCTTTTTGTATTGCTGTTCAGTCCTGTCAATTGCTGTTCAGTCTATTTTATCTCTGATGAAGTCCACTGCATTGAACAAAGCGCGTTAGATCTGTTTTATATATTTTTTATTCATTATTCTTATCAGGCAGTTGTTGCCTAAATAAAATACATCATTTTCTTCAAGCAAATCTTTTGATTTTGCATCCTAAAGTACATGGACTTGCTGAATTTCTATTACCCCTAATGGTGGAAGGCGGACCAGTATAATCCATTTGTGGGTTTTTTGGCATTCATTTGACTTCAATTCTGTGAGTGCAATCTATGATATTGCGTGCTGTTTGTCTTTTATAGTCTAGCATCCAGCTGTATCCCTGTTTTTACCTTTATCCACCTGCTTTGATTTGTTGCTAAAAAAGTGAGATGATTAAAGGCTGAGTTGATATTGGTTTGTGTGATTGCTTTGTGTAGATGTTGTTCAGAAAAGACTGAGTCTAAATCTGAATACTAAGCCTCCCTAGTAGTTTTGTCAGATAGAAAACCTGCCATAACAAGATAGCGCTTTAAAGGTGTAAAGGTATTAAAACCTAAATAGAAAATAAAAAAAATCACAGTGAAAGGGGGTAGAGGGGTTAGTAGATGCTGGCCACCTCTACTACTATACTGCAACACCAAATAGACACTCCAGGGGTGTCTTGGGGCTTAACCCCTAATTCTAGATATAGTAATGACAAAATTCTACTTATTGGAGCCAAAGCTCCAAAAAGTGATTGTTAGGCTGGGAAATGCTGTTCTAATAGATAATGTACATAATATTAAATTGTATATACTGTCCCATGTATCATCCACAAAAATAGAAGGTCAATAGAGAAAAGAAAAATAAATAAATAAAGTGAAATTAACACTAGCCAACTGGTTCCTGGACCATATACAGAAGCTGGATGCATGGGAGAGGTACACTGACAGGATAGCTGTTGCCAGTGCCTCCAGCTCCCAGCTGAGTATGTGAGAGTTTGCTGTGTGTGTGTGTGTGTCTATTAGGCAGAGTGTGTTTCTATTAGGCAGAGTGTGTGTCTATTAGGCAGTGTGTGTCTATTAGGCAGAGTGTATGTCTGTGTGTGTGCCTATTAGACAGTGTGTGTGCGTATGTATTAGGCAGTGTGTGTGTTGTGGACAAGAATACTAACTCTATTAATTTTTAGTAAAATGCCTATTTACTGTGCATAACCATAATCAATATTATTCATAAGTTGCTTAAAATGGCCGCTAGGAGTTTTCCCCGTTATCAACTATCACCCTCGAATTAACAAGGTGGCGCTGGAATCTGGAGGAGATCCAGTGACATCACACCTGGTAGGATGAGCAATCGATGAACCACTTAAAACTTAACCAATTATTGATGTATTTTCCTCTGTTATCTATATAATTATGCTATGTATTTCTGCTTTATAAGGGGCATACCAGCCCCCCGGAATAAAGATTGCTGAGTTTTTCATTAAACTGGAAACTTGTGTCTGGTATGAATTAATTCAGGAAGCGTGCACACAACATATAATCAATTTGGACAGGGGCAGATACACTAAACTATCAAATACTTGATTTGATCCTCAACAATTTGGCGCCCATCGTGGGGCACCACGGTTTCGCCCTACGATGGGATTGTCTGTCTGATTCCTGGGTGTGGAAGGGTTTGCTTGAGTATTTGATAAGTTTTATTGTATTGAATTTTTATTGTTAGCTTGACTGCTTAGAGAGCAGGGAGACGCGACCGCCCAGAGAAGGGCTGTGAATTTTTATTGTGATTGTTATTGTTAGCTTGACTGCTTAGAGAGCAGGGAAACGTGACCGCCCAAAGAAGGGCTGGGAATTTTTATTGTGATTGTTATTGTTAGCTTGACTGCTTAGAGAGCAGGGAAACGTGACCGCCCAGAGAAGGGCTGGAAATTTTTATTGTGATTGTTATTGTTAGCTTGACTGCTTAGAGAGCAGGGAAACGTGACCGCCCAGAGAAGGGCTGGAAATTTTTATTGTGATTGTTATTGTTAGGTTGACTGCTTAGAGAGCAGGGAAACATGGCTGCTTAGAGGATGGCTGTTTTTTTTTTTTTTTTTATACTATTTGCTTGACCGCCTAGAGTGCTGGGACTGCTACTGCCCAGAGAGAGGGACCGTGAATTTTGTTGTAGAGTTCAGAGAGGAACAGGGTTTTGCTGACTTATTGCTGTTATAGTTGATATAGTGTTATTTCTTGTTACATTGTGGTTATTACTCAGCTGGGATTATAGTGTGTGTGTGGTTTGGTCGCATCTGTTTGCGTTGTGTAGTTTATTCTTGACTCGAGACTTTGTGCACATATCTACATCTGTTATTCTTGTGAAAGTCTTCTTATTAGTTTTTCTACCTTCACCTTCTTTCTTGTCCTCTTCCTCTACTGTACCTTTGACCCAGAGCAGTGTTAGCCATCCACTACTTGCCTCGCTCTGATCCGTGACCACCATCTCAGGTGGGCGGATCCCGTGACTCGTCTACGTTTCGGGAAGACACATGCAGATTAATTTCTCATGGCAGTCGAGCACTGTAGACGCTCTCCATCCCCGCCCCTGGTCCACCTCCCACCTTCACTCTTTCCATGTCCTCCCCTGATCCACCTCCCAAAGTGATTCCCCCTGTCCCTGCCCATGTTACACCTCCTTCTCCTCTCCCAGTCACCCCTTCCGCCTACGTTCCCCCTTCTGTTCCGACTCCCGTCACGGTTGTCACCTCTCCTACCGGCATCCTTCCCACCGCTTCCTCTTCCGTCCCCACACCTAGTTCCGTTCCAGCCCAGCTGGACCCCAGCTACCCCATTATGACGGTTGGTTCAAACGATTCTATCGTATCAGACCGTCACCAGCCTGCTTCCCCCGCAGCCTCAGGCTACCCCAACACATCCCAACTGGCTACACTCCAAATTGCCAATGCCGGTTCTCCTGAATCTGGCACTCCAGCCGCGCAAGCTCCAAATTCATCAGATGTACCCAGTTATCATGGCCTACCGCTCCCTGCTCCCTTTGATAACAGTCAGGGGTTAGGCCCACTGCGAGACCCTAATAATACCCCACAGTTTCCTCAACCGCTACCTGCCCCAGCAAGCCTTCACAGTATCCTTCCAGCTATCGATGGAGCCCCCTTGACGTGTGTTACCTTCAATCCATCCCAAGCAGCCACTCTGGTAACTTCCCTCCCGGACCCAGAGAAACAGCCCATGCCCTTCTTTCGAGGGATTTCTCAGATTCGTAAAATGTATTCAGCTACCTGGCGTGATTTATCTAGTCTCTGTGAAATCAAAGCCAGGGATGCATATTGGCCTAATATGGAAAGGAGCTTTGATGATGCCCATCTCCTTACTGACACAGATTTCCAATCAGGCATAACATTCTGTGAACAACTTCGTGCCTGGGCACAGGATAAACTGGCTGACCAAGCTACCTGCATTAATAACATCTTGCAGGATAAAATTGAGTCCATGGAAAAATACCATTCACGGTTAACACAGACTTTCTATGATTTGGGCTTCAGCATCTACAATAAAGCATATATTTAGATGCTGTTGGCTGCCTTTGTCGCAGGTTTAAAAGAACCCATTAGGAAGGGACTGACCCTGTCCCACCCAGAATACAGGATTATACCCTTGCATACTCTCCTCCTAGTTGCTAAAGGTCTGGAGTCCGCATTATTACCCCAGACAAAGAAAAGTACTCCCGTGATGGTTTCCTTCCATAACCCTGCTATCAGACCTGCCCCAACACCACCTGGGTTTCCTGTGCACCTACCGAAGAGACAATCTGTGTCCGAGGTGCCAAGATTTAAAACAAGAGCCTGTTATAACTGTGGTCAGCCTGACCATTTTCGCAAGGATTGCCCACACCCTAGGATGTACAGGCAACAGCAACCAGCCGTAAGACCTCCCAATTCTGGAGCAGGCTATCCTATATTTCCTCACCCCTCTGCAGCGGCCCAGGTCCAGCCTCAGGCTGTTTACCCTCCACAGGGTTACCCTCAGGCTGTTTACTCACCATAACTTGTCGACAACTAACCTGCATCTCATGGTAATACTGACTTTCTTTCTGATGGCTATGATGCAGATGGCTGTCAACAACCACATCGTCCTGCACCTAACATTCATCATCCTGTGCGACGTGCACAACAGCAAAGTTACTCTGCGCCTGCAGCCCCTACCCGTCACTACACTGGATCTGACCAGGCCCATTTAGATCTTTTACAATAGGTAACTGGCAAACCTGTGTCTAACACCCCTGTCATGGCAGTGTCTACAGGGGATAGAGGGGGGCCCCTAGCTACCGTGGTCCTACCCATTGAGGGTCATCCAACTACTTCCCTAGTTGACACAGGCGCAGCCCGCAGTGTTCTCAGAGAACTTGACCTGCCTGACTCTTCTTTCCTATCTAATATTGATGTTTATAGGAGAAAACAAGGGTTTGGCTGCACTCACCTAAACATACTTAAATGGGGTGCTGCTGGGAGCCAATAAGTACAGTAAAAATGAAACTACTAAACAGTTATTTTAGTGCTAAACAATTTTGTTAGTTTTATTAAAAACACCTAATCTAGGCTCACTTTGGGAAATCCTTCCATCTCGAGTTCTCTGCAGTACAATGCTTAAATAGGGTCCTGAGATGAGGCACCTGTAACAAGGAGGGGTGCAAAACCAAGGAGCTGGCTAGACTCCTTAAGCCTTGTACTGCAGAGAACTCGAGATGGAAGGATTTCCCCAGTGAGTAGCTTATTTAGCAGACAGAGTAGGACCTGCCAAAGATGGGGTACATTGGCGTTGTGGCAGGCTTATGCAATGTATGATCAAATAATGTAACTAAACCCCCAGTATGTTTTGCCTAGATTAGGTGTTTTTAATAAAACTAACAAAATTGTTTAGCACTTAAATAACTGTTTAGTAGAAAAGTGAGTGCGCTGGATTTTCATTTTTACTGTACGTATTGGCTCCCAGCAGCACCCCATTTAAGTATGTTTAGGTGAGTGCAGCCAAACCTTTGTTTTCTCCTATATGTATATATTTAGGAGTCTAGCCAGCTCCTTGGTTTTGCACCCCTCCCTGTTACAGGTGCTTCATCTCAGAACCCTATTTAAACCTTGTACTGCAGAGAACTCGAGATGGAAGGATTTCCCCAAGTGAGTAGCTCATTTAGCAGACAGAGTAGGACCTCCCAAAGATGGGGTACATTGGCGTTGTGGCAGGCTTACGCAATGTATGACCATATAATGTAACTAAACCCCCAGTATGTTTTGCCTAGATTAGGTGTTTTTAATAAAACTAATTTATTGTTTAGCACTAAAATAACTGTTTAGTAGATACGTGAGTGCGCTGGATTTTCATTTTCATTTACTCTTTTACTCTAATATTGTATGTTTAGTGTGTTGGTGTTGATGGTACCCCTCGTAACAACCCACTAACCAAGCTCTTTCGAGTTTGCTCAGACATTCTCACATGTTTTGTTGTTTCTTCTACCTGCCCCATTACCTACTAGGTGCTGATGTACTGTCTCATCTGCAGGCCTCTATTTCCTTCACCTCTGATGGCCAGGTTCAATTACTAACACCTCTCTCACTTAAGGATACTTCAGCCCTCTGTTCCTTACCTCTCCATTTAGAGACACCATGCCCCAAGGATGCAAGGGTCCCTGAGTTCCCCAGTGCCCTGGATAGGGTCCCAGCCAAGCTTTGGTCCACAGGCCCAGATGATATTGGGCGCCTCCGGTGGTTGTTCAGCTGTATGAAGGAGAAAACCCACCACGAAGGCCACAATATCCCTTGAAGCCTGCTCAGGCCCTTGCCATCTCCAAACAAGTTGAAAGCCTACTAGCAAAAGGTGCTCTTGTAAAATGTGTATCAAAATGTAACACCCCTCTGTTTCCAGTGAAAAAGAAAACTGAAAAGGGCGAACCAGACCAATACTATATGGTTCAAGACCTCCGTGCTGTCAATGATGTCACAGTCAGGGATACAGCCATTGTGCCTAATCCACACACCCTCCTGTCACAGGTACCTCCTACAGCAAGATTCTTCCCTGTAATTGACCTGGCAAATGCCTTTTTCAGCGTGCCTCTGGTTCCTTCATGCCAATATCTGTTTGCATTCACACATGACCGCCAGCAGTATACTTGGACTGTTATGCCTCAAGGTGCACAAAACTCACCCACTCAATTTGCTAAAGCTATGTTTACTGCACTAGAAACATGGCAGAAATCCCATCCAGATGTGGTACTCTCATCCAGTACGTGGATGACTTACTCCTCTGTGCTGATGATCTTCCAACTGCTGAGCGTCACTCAGATTACTTACTCTGTTTCCTCGCTGAACAAGGCTGTAAAGCCTCCAAAAAGAAGTTGCAATGGTGCAGGCCCTCTGTGGTCTTCTTGGGACATTGCCTTTCCCATGGTACTCGACACTTAACCAGAGACAGAGTCCAAGGGATCACTGCTATTAGCCCTCCAGGTACCCCTCAAACTCTACATGCCTTCCTAGGCCTCATTACCTACTGTAGGGCCTGGATTCCTGAAGCCTCTCGGCTCATGCAGCCTCTCTACGATGCCCTGAAGACTGAACCCTTCAGACTATCCGCAGACGCTAGTACCTGCTTCTATGCTCTACAGAGAGCTATCGTCTCAGCCCCTGCCTTGGGCCTCCCTGAAGCCCTTCAAACTTTTTGTCTCAGAACGGATGGGTCATGCTTCGGGAGTCCTAACGCAATCTTATGGTTCCCGTCAACGACCCATTGGTTACTTCTCCTGCCAATTGGATCCTGTGGCTAGAGGAGGGCCATCCTGTCTACGCGCAGTGTTTGCTGCCAGTGCTCTTCTGAACAAAACTAATGACTTTGTTCTTGCACACAAACTCACTGTCCTTGCCCCTCACGATATCACTGCCATCCTCAATCAAGTTCAGCCAAAACATCTCACGTCTCAGAGGCATCTTCACCTCCAAGCTACTCTCCTTTTGCTTGACAATGTCACTCTACAAAAGTGTTACTCGTTAAATCCGGCTACTCTTCTGCCATTTCCCGGGGGGGAGTGCCACACTGCTGGTGCAGTTTAGATATAAACTCTGATGTTGCCTTTGAACTACAGGTAACCAAACCACCAGTTCCACATGATGAACAACCTGAAAGCTACTTACACTGCACCTTATGGTTCAGAAGTGCCCCGGGACCAGATCCACACTATGAGGAAGAACTATTCAGACTTGTGGAGGTAAGCATCATCCTGACAGACCTGTCCAATGACTCCAAAGGAAACAGTGTGATCTTGGTCCATTTACCCATGGAAGTAACACACATGTATCATCAGTGGGAGGTGGCTGTTCCTCATGTTTCCTTCACCGAGGCTCCAGATATTTCATGGAAGTAACTTAGCCCTCTAGCAAAAACATGGAGCACTGCAAGTCAAGAGCAATTTACGATGGAAGGAGTCACCAAGAGAACCGTAAACTGCAAGACAGTTGGTTACCGTCGATATCATACAGAGATAAGCGAAGACACCCCTCCTGCAGAACAGGACCCAGATGCTCCTCATGATTGCTTCGAACAGAGGAAAATGGAGACCACAAATCTCCCAACAGTGCATGAAGTGGCCTTGCCAGACCCTGACTTCACCCTGTTTGTGGATGGCTCCAGATTTGTGGACTCACATGGAAAATACCATACTGGATTTGCTGTCACAACAGAAGATCGAATACTTCAAGCATCCTCACTGAATTAATAGCCCTCACAGTAGCATGCAAGATGTTGTCTGAAGGAAAGCGTGCAAATATTTATACTGACTCAAGATATGCCCTGGGGGTGGCACATGATTTTGGATTAATCTGGAAAGCAAGAGGTTTCCTTACAGCAACTGGTACGCCAGTCAAACATGGCACAGCTATCAAAGAACTGATGGATGCCCTGCTACTCCCTGAAGAAGTAGCCATACTGAAGGTGAAGGCCCACGGAAGATTGAATTCAGAAGAAGCACATGGCAATCATTTGGCTGACCAGGCTGCAAAAGATGGTGCACTACTG